TGCCCCTACCTAGTATCTTCTATAATGATCAAATTACGTGCAGGATATTTTTACTTTTTTTTTTCTTAAATCGCCAAATAGACCACTAGTGAAAATTTCCCTGAACTAAGCTGATAACTTAGAAAAAGAGTTTATGATCAATAAAACTTCCTTGCTGGTTCAACTCGCCACAGTATAACCTTTTGTGCTGATCAATCAATCAATCAATCCTTGCATGTTCAAATAATTTAAATAAAAAAAAATGAGAAGTATGCTTCAATGAGACAGCAACCTACCAACACAAATAACAAAAAGACATCTACAGTACAACATATAGTCTTCAACATCATACAGCTGTTCATAGCATTGTACAGAAACCCAAACAGACCACCAAGAAAAAAAATAAGATAATCTTAAAGAGAATGCAAGCATCTAGAAGCTCAAATATAAATATATAGTTTGATACTATTTTGGTGAATTTACCTTGTACCAGGATGTGTCATCTTTTTTTTTTTAAATTTCAAATTATATATGCATAATTTGTTTTCAATGTTCATAGAAAAATGACAATATTTATGTATTTTTAATCATGCTGTGAATTTAACAGTTATTGAATTTAAAACTAAAGTCAATTCTCGGCTGGAATTCAAAATACTTTTCACCTGTCTAAATTCATCAACAGATAAACATTCGTCTTGATAGAAATAAACATCTAGTATTGAAGGAATAGGTGTAAATTTCATGTAAAAAACCAACAGATGAAGGACAAGTATCTTCTTTATATCAATAAATAGAACCTTATCATTTGTTTTGATACAATGTTGGAAGTTGGCAGGTTGTTCAACAGTTATGTATGATTAAAAGGAAATGTGAGGTAAATGTCAATGAGTCAGCAACACAACAATAGAATAAAACCCCAAAACACAATTCAATAGTGTCAATATTATGGAGGGACACTATAATCATGTCTTTTGGGCAACATCTAAATTAATATACTACCAACTCTTACCAGACTGACAATTGCTTACATCCACTTCATTTGGCCTCTAGTGGATAGCTGTTTCATTGGCAATCATACCACATCTCCTTATAGTGTTGTATATTGACAACACACAAATACATCAACAACCAACTCTTAACAGACTGATTTCACAACGACAAACCAACCACAAACTCGTAACAGACTAATCACACATAGACACACAAACCATCGACTCATTCCAAGCTGATGACATACTAACACACAATCCACCGACTTATACCAGGCTGATGACATACTAACACACATTCCACCAACTTATACCAGGCTGATGACATACTAACACACAATCCACCAACTTATACCAGGATGATGACATACTAACACACATTCCACCAACTTATACCAGGCTGATGACATACTAACACACAATCCACCAACTTATACCAGGCTGATGACATACTAACACACAAACCACCGACTTATACCAGGCTGATGACATACTAACTTACTGACCATTAACTCATATCAGACTGATAACCAAGACAAACAATATAAAACAACAGCTGATTTCATGATTGTCTAATAATTTCAAGTAGATGATGGTCTGTCTAATACAACTAACCAAAAGAAAACACAAACACACAGCAGCATTCAAGACACTTTTCAAATAATCTTCCATCTGGAATGTTTAGAAGTACATTTATGTCAAAAGTTATTCATTTCTTTGAATATCTTTACCATAATTGGCAATCAACAGCAGTGACCAGAACAGAACCTTTACAGAAAACAACAACTGTTCGTTAGAATACAACACTTACAAGTGACAAACTTGTATCATGTGACAAACTTATATCATGTGACATGTTAGGACTAACAAACTCTGTAATCGGTAAAAAGATGACATATAAATCTTATGTCATAAATAGATCAATATCACCCACCATATAATTAGTCATAATTCAATATCAAATCGTAGGTATATATTGCCATGGAAACTATGTTGAGCTTGCAAAAAAAAAAACGCTTTGGAAGAAGATTTTCAAGCTGTGTCATGAAACTTTTATGAAGTGTATTGTTATATGAACTGTGTATATTTTTCACATTATTTAATCATTAAAATATTATAATGTAAAAATTAAAGAAAAACGGTATTAAAAGATGAATTTAAAAATTGAAAAGTTATGCAACCTGCATTTGTAGAAATACCATTGAACATTTATCAATTCCAGCATTGGACAAAATCACTGTTCTCTAATTTTACTTTATCTAAAAAAAAAAGACACTCTCATTAAACATGGAAATTCATTGTGTCCCTTTAAATATAATTCTACTTCTGTCCTTGAAATTAAAAATAAAATAATATTTTGTTAAATTTAATCTTTACACCCTAAACAAACCATTTAAAGTAATCGGTCATCTTTTCAGATATTATTTTTTAATCGAAAAAATAAAATGATAATTTTGGTTCACTTATTCGTTTAATCACACCATTTGAAAACCATAGAAAATGATTGTGAGGTGTTTTGTATTTTTAAAGGGATAGTAGTGACCTACCGACCAATTTATACAGAAATGTAAACAAAACAACTGAAATTTACACCTGTAATTTAATTCTTGATCTTTACCTCTAAAAGCTATTCAAAATTTATTTTATAAGCAAATAAATTGATTTTTATTGTAGAAAATTGGCTCTTTTATTTGTTAAAATTGTATAAATGTTATAAGTTTTGTTTTATTTGTTTTTTATACAAAAATGACCACTGATGTCCAGGTATTTAAATTTCTTTGATATGTCTAGCCACAAAAATTACATGGGTTTCTTTATAATAAAAGTCTTAGAAACTGGGTCAAATGAAAACAAGTATCCAGAGAAAAAAATTTAAACAAATAGGAATTAATTCATTCAACAGTAATAAATTATAAAATGATTATAAAATTTCATATTTTTTTCTATTCAAAAATATTAAATGGCTATTCTTGAAAAAAACATAGGGATTAAAGCATTTCTCTCACCAATGAGTATTTGGTTTGTAAATAGTTTTTTGAAAATCCTCACAAGCTATACAATAATCTTTTAACTGCCTTCCATCCCAAACCCTTGTACAACTTTTTCCTGAATAGCTTTTCGAACTAGCAAATCATATTTCGTTCTTGTCTAAAATACTGTTTCCTACTAAAAATTCTACAAGGAAACAAATTACCTTGTTTTTTCATGACACCACTCATTACAGAACTCTATAAAATTGTCTTTTTTTCATGACACCACTCATTACAGAACTCTATAAAATTGTCTACAAGGTCTATGTAGTGCAGACAAAGTTTGATAGATGATGATGTTAGGTCACACTGATCTACCCACTGTAGACAAATGGATCATCATTAAGGTCTGACATATCTCACCTCAGCCTAACACCCTGATGTGTATGGTAAACAATAGACAATTCTTTAACTGTAAAAGGGTAATGTGGGAATTTTCTTTTCATCTTTACTTTTACATCCAAATTTTTTATGTGAAACACTTTTTAAATCTTGTCTTTTACAGTCATTTTTTTTACTTGAAGAAATTTAAAATGTAATTCCTCTAAAAATGCTATCTTTCCATAAAAATGGTAGATGAGAATATGTGGAATCTTTTACATAAAAATTAAAATTTCTTTTTATTAAATATATATATATATATATTATGAATACTCATTTTTTTCTTGAAAATATATTTATTTTGGAGTTTTAAGATGTCCTAAGAAATTACATAGACATTTCTAAGCGCATGTGAAATTTACAGAGGTTTATTTTGAGTATTAAAGGATAGTTCTATTTTATTCAAGTTAAACATGTTATAATTTAAATTAAAACTCAACATTTATTAAATATTGAATTCAAGACCAAAGTTGGATTACAAAAAGAAGATATGCTTGGTGAAAATTTTCAATGAAATGAAAAAGAAAAACTTAAAAAAAAGAAGGTTTTTCCGTATAAGACAGTAAACATGACAAACATAAAATTATGATAATGTGCGGCAATAAAATTTGTATCACTTATTACTTTAGTGTAATAAATGTCACCGTTATGACAGACCAACAACAAAAATCTTGTCAAAACCAACTTATACTTATAAAATGCAGGAAGACCACAATGTGCTTTTACTTTAATTGGGAAGTACTCTTATATTTTAATTAAAAGATAATTATTCTTATCCAGTTATGTATAAAGATCACAATCATGTAGTCTTTACTTAGTTAGTTAAAAATAGTATATTTAACATGATAGAAAATCAGTGGTTCTATTATATAAGAATTTTTATAAAAAAGTTACTTCTAGCATGAGGAGAAGTCCTCTGAAATGGTTATATATTAGTGATTATAGTTGAAACGTATTTAATTGTCATAACTATGACAAATAATTGGGAACAATTTATACTATTTAGAATTACCCACCACCAGATTATACTAATTATACACATTACCTCAAAAAAATATTACATTTTATGCTTTAACAATAAAAAAATTCAATTCTGAAAATATGGCCTGCATTTGGATCAAGTCAAATTTTTTAAGGTAAAATTATAAGGTTGGATATGATATCATAGTCACGAAGATTTAAAGTTTGGCAACAGCAGTTGAACATATCATTTCATAAATTTGATATAATTGATGCATGAGACAAAAACACTCCTATTGTTTGAATTTGTTTTAAATTTCTTCAAGAGCAAAAAGTTAAGAACAGGTATTTTTTACAAAAGTAAATATTTTTATTTTTCCCCAAAACATCAAATATTTGTTAGAACTATTCGTGAGAGGACACTTATATTCCAATTCACCTGTTTTAAAGAAATATTAGTTTCACTACATCATAAATAAAGCATGCTTAATCGGTAGCCACTCTGACGGATCTATTTAATATGATATACATCATTATGAAAAGAAATTTACCAACAATTTCATATCAATTTCAGACAAACCTTGTAGTTGTATAAAAACTTGTCACCGATCGGCAGGAAATTAGGCAATCATATCCATCATATATATATATATATACACACCTTTAATAACTTTTCCTTGTTTATATTCCAAAATCTTCTCTGAATAAACTTTTTTCTAATTTTTTAAGTTTCTGAAACCTGTAAATCCAGCAAAAATTTCTGAAATAAAATCACTTTTCAGTTAAAACTTCACATAACAATTTTTTTTTCTGCAGCAGAAATAATGTTAATCCTGTTTATTTCTTTTTTTTTATTTTCTTTTAAGAATATTGATAAATCCTGAGATATTCTTCAGTTTACATCAATTTCACGGATTTAACAATATAAGTACAAGATCCCCAACAATTGTCAACAGATGTACATAGAAATATATTAAGTATGAACTACTGAGATTGATATTACCTGAGACTACCTGGTGAAATCTGATTGATTGGACTGAACCAAACATTTACAAAGGGTAGGCAGGATTTAAATCTACCTATGGTTTTGAATGACTAGAGATGTCCAAACTCATTAGTGTAGGAAATCAGCATGAAATTCAACATAATTACCTGTAATCTTAGGTGTTTATACTGTCAGCTGATTAACGAACTGTTTACACCTGTATTATCAGTGTTGTATCTACCCGTTTTTATTTATGTGCATATCAGATGATATTAAGTATAAATAATATATATTTGACACAATTAATTATTACGTTTCTCACTCAATTATTTAGATGTAATTAATATTTCAATAAATTAGCTAAAAAAGAATCAAATTTGTTGTCAGAGAACATGTATGTTTAATTCTACTCAAACAGCTGCTAGGGGCTGTCTTCAACTTGAAGTGGTATGAGAGTTTTGGCTTTGTGTTAAAGACCTCACTATGTCTTTTGGATGTAGAACAGCAAAAATAACATGCTATATCTTTGCTTGTTTTTTTCATGTGCATGTAGATATTTTGTGTCATGAATTGAGATCATATCCTTTCTTTTCCATTAAAATTCAAGTACTTCCTATAGCATAGCTTAATGCACATGATAAGTACTGCAGCTAATATAAAATACTCCTTGGATATCAATATATTTTCAAATGAAAATAGAACACTTAGACCTCCATCTAAATTTTTTTTTAAATCTATTTAAAACTGTAACATTTTCTAAGATATAATTTACCAAAACTAGCCAAAAAAAGGGGGAAATGCAATTTATTTTTGCAAAAATGTAAATTATCCAAAAATGTTACATAATTTCACTTAAAATAGAATTTTCTTTATTTTTTCCAATAAAATGTACTAAATGATGAATTTTGTGGTTGACCCGGGCCTTTATTTTCTTTTTGAATTAGATATTTTTGCGAATTTAAACTAACTTAAAGTTTAATACAATATAATTTTTTATCATTACAAAAAAGGGGGGACTAGGGAGGGGGAATCGTACCAGTACATGAAACATTTATAACTAATTATATCTATTTCATGGGTTTCCTTATAAGCTCATACTAAATTTTCTCCCGTATTGCCAAAGAATCTCCAGGTAAAACGGTAAATGTCTATTACTCTAATCAACTCTAACAAGAATTGATAGAAATCATCTATATCACATGTTATTTAACACAAACTTTTATCTTAAATGCCATCTTATTCTATTGGCTATATAAAGGTAATAAACCAGTATTGATCTTGGTTGAACAGGTCTAGTAACAATTCACAGACAAGAAGCAATCACAGGACTTAAGGTATACAGAGTTAACTTGTTTATGTCTGTAAAATCCTCCATAGGCTTCTTGCATTGATATAGACTCTGATGAATTATACCTTGGCATATTGAAGGAACATTATATTATTGTTAAAGACCATATACTAACCTCTAAATTTCTATTTTGTGTTGTTGGATTGGTGTCTCATTGACATATACCCCACCTGTTGTTTTTTTTCATATATTATGTAAAGTGCAGACTGAGAAAGTTAATTTTTAAATGATTGTGAAACTGCTTGTCCAAACCTCATGTCCTCCATTTTGAAATAAGTATGTTCCTTTAAAATTTGATTGAAGATGATCAAGAGATGATATCAAATAGAATAAAGAGAGAAATAAAAAGAATATTTGGCATCAAAATAAAGAATTATGGAAATAAGGCGGTAAAGGAAATGATTAGATTGTCAACCAATAATGATATACTTTACTGATTCTTTACGATCAATCAATAAGTACTTCTGTTTTACCGTGGAAAAGACACGGCCTAGATCACAAAAGGACAATAAATTACGAGGACATATTAACGTTTTATATGCACATCTTAGATACTAGTATAAAGTGTCAAAACTGTTGTAATAAAAACGTCCTCTTACAAACCCCTTGTTAGTTCATGCCAATCACCTTATATTGTACAGTTATGGTGCTAAGTAATGCAGGTATCTTGTTTCTTGGAGTTCTCTGATTTCTGTAAGAATAAAAAGATATAAAAGGTTAATTAAATGCTTCTTCACAATGTAATATAACTTTAATCAAAGCTTTTTATGAGTTATTTGGATGATCAAACTTCTGATTTTATTTTTTCATCTTTATTAAAAAGAAATAAAATCATGCCTTTTAATAATATGTCTTCATCCAAATCATCGTTAAATCATGTTGCTCACTGAACCAAAGTTTACTTTTAACCGACATACTGTTTTTGTTGTATCTTATCTACCCATTAAAGGTTACATCTTAGTTCAGTAATTTTCATTTCAAAAATAAAATATCAAAAATAGATCTACCCGGTAAGCTGTATCTATATCCGTTTAAATTATATACATCATTTGTTTCACAGAAACCTTTTGAATTTCTTTTATGTCGTCGTGTTGAATCTCATTGGCATACACCCTACATCTCATTTTATTTATAAATTATTATACACATAATGGAGGGGCCTGATGGGAGGGTCTCATCACGATTCACGAGTTGATTTTTTTGTCAATCACGATTCACAGAAAATAAATTTCCATGATCACGGATCACGAAAATATAAAAAAAAAAAAAATTTGTAGAAAAACGGATCACGATAGCGAAAATGCGCCGATCACGAAGAACAAAAATAACCCATCAGGCCCCTCATAATGCAAGAGCGCAATCCACTAAATGTAATCTTTACGTGAAGCACTGTTTGTAAAGTACTTTTTGTCCTCTCATCAAACACTTCTTTCCATCTTATTCTAATTTAGAACTTAGCATGCATCTATTAAAATCTCACTTTTCACTAGCCTAACAAGGTTTACCACAATAAACAGACATTTCATTAGACATCAAAAACAAGTGCTTTTCATTGAAGAAAATTTTCAAAATAATGAAGCATCATTGTAATCATTGTTATAATTGTAGAGATAATTTATTTAACTAATCCATCTTCCGTCTAAATTCAGATTTCTATTGGTTTGAGTTGTCGAAGTTGTAAACGTTGAGTAATGGAGTAAGGATCGCGTCTCAAAATCGGCAGGAGATATTTTATAACACCATCAATAACCCTCTATATGGATAATGACTACCCTAACAATTCTGATGTAGAGTGTGTTAAATACAAAACTTTATCAATATCTGTTTCGTCATCAATATAGTGTTAAACTATTTAACTTTTGGAAAGGTTTATTAGGAAATACCAATTATAGGGATACATTGGTTACACAACTGTTGACTAAAACTGATAGAAATAAACATTAGTTCTAACACCTTAAAAAGTTCCTTTGAAGCAATAGTAGATTTTATATAGACATTCATATATTGTTGCAGACCGTGTGAACTCTAGATGGCTTTGTTTTTTTTGTGTCGCTGGGATGCTGTTTCATTGACTTGTACTCTTTATCTTATTTTATTCATATTTAGTTCTCTAGCAAGCAGATGATGACAAATATTTGAGAAATCTAATTTTATCCACAAACCTCAAGCATGGTAATGCACACTTTAATATCACATTGGTGAAATAACCCGTGAAAATATTCTTATTTCCTGCTGATGTTTAATGATTAACGATACTAACTCATTTTTTAACTACATATTCAAAAGAGACAAATTTTATTTCACTGGTGAATTTATTGTCATACTAAAACTCAAAGATTAAAAGTCAGTATTAAATATTGCTTTTATTTTCCACAATGAGATGAAGCTTTTATGATTTATATGAAAACTTGTTAAGAATAAAGTCGTGCAGCTATTCTTAAACAGTCATACAGAAGGATAATAGATTCAATCTGGCAGAGTTTTGTAAAGATTTTAAAAATGGATAATAAAAAATGCTCATAAAATTGCCGTAAAAGGGAAACTTATTAGAACATTATTTTCCGAGATAATTTCCAAGGATGTCAAGCCAATCGCAACAAAGAGAATTCAAAACACGGAAAAAATCAAATGTTACACCGCTATTTTCACTTCATGGCCATCCAACTGTGCACGAAAATATACATAAAATGAAAATAAAATATTGCGCTACTGTAAATAGGGATTACCATATTAATACACGTCCAACTTTGAAGTTAATAAGATTCCTGTCGTATCTTTGTCCAACATGGGGTGTCAATACAAATTGTTTAACCGATCATAGTATTCATATATTTATCTCTTACGGTAAGATGGTGAATGTGAATCATGATGAAGAATGAAGGGAAATCGGAAAGAAAAAACTGGGCTATTTTTTTCACACATATGTGTTTGAAAGTTTGTTATGCAAATTAAAGTACGCAGTGAAAATGCATTTATACATAAATGATGAACTATGTACGATCAATTGGAATAAAAAGCTTCTCACCAATAAACTTCCTATCTGGTTTAAAATTTGATTTCTGTTGAGATAGTCAATTAATGTCACACGTTAGGAGGGTATATTTCATTGTAAAATGGGATTTAATACACTGGTCATCTTCATATATTTAACATAAATCATATTTCATCATGGATTTTAATGAAATTTGGTATTGGGACACAGCTGGCTGATCTTTGAAGCAGAATATATTACCCATTAGCAGAATTTATGGCAAATTATCAAATGTAACCCCTATTTGTGGTAAACAGAATGAATATTTTCTTTATATCCATTTTTATAACTGATAGTGTTGATTGTAAATGATTTCAACATTTTTTAAGTTGTACAAATCTTTTTAAATATTAAGTGTTATGTACTCAGTAACAGACATGTTTACAAAACTGTTTGTGTGTGTGTGTTTTAAAAAATTATCTTGTTGAATTCAACAGACAGGTTTACAAAACTGTTTGTGTGTATGTGTGGTAGAAAGTAATGAACTTACCAACAGAAATAACAAGAGGAAAAGTACATCTAAAATCTTGAAAAATCATCGACAAAAAGGCAAAATCAACATTAAATAAAACACAGGGCACAGCAGTCACTTCATGAAAGAAAATATTAAGACCAGTAAAATCTTTCTAAACACCCAGAGAAACTGTAATAGTGGACTGAACACATCTATAAAAGTAACC